TAAAATATTTGATATCTTAATTGACTTACCAAGTCTGCGTAGAACAGTAGAAATCCAAGGGAATTTCAAAACAGCCACCTAGTGTCCCAGGTGTGAATTCAGAGAGAAAGAGAGAGAGAGAGAGAGAGAGAGAGAGAGGAGAGAGAACGCAAGAAAGCGTAGCCACAAGTTCTGGCTAAAAGCTTAAATCCAGCCACGTGTTTCTGCTTGAGTCGAGTCAAGCCTGGGCTCTGGCTTCCTTAAGCTCCAACCATGTGCGTTAGCTTTACAGGCAGGGGCCCTCTTTGGCAGGGCAGGCCTGAGTTGTTTGTAGCACCGGCTTTAAGCGAGTAGCAACAGTTGTGTGTAATCGCTTGGGGCTACGGTCAGTCCGGCCTGAGACCCAGCCGACCTGGGCTTGAGCTAGGGAGCCAGGCCACCCAGGCTGGAAACCGGACCTGCTGCCAAGCCAAGCCAAGTGATTTTTTAATGGATTCTTGTCACATTGGGTGCCAAACGTAGATGTAACCAACTGTCTTATTAAATAAGAAACACAGAACCAATGCAAAGAAGAAAGCCAAGAGGTCAGTGCTAAGAGCTAAAAACCTTACCCTTCACTGTCACTGTTGTCCTATCTCTCCGAAAGAGACCTACTTCCTGTGTTAAAGTCTTTATATAGACTTTCTGTTCTGCCTTCTCATTGGTTGTAAACCCAACCACATGACCTCCTAGTCACTGCCTGCCTGTACAGACCTCCAGGTCTTCTATGGTTGGTATTGAGATTAAAGGTGTGTGTCTCCAATGCTGGCTGTATCCTTGAACACACAGAGATCTACCTAGCTCTGTCTACCAAGTGCTGGGATTAAAGGTGTGCACCACCACCACCCGGCTTTCCTATGGCTTGCTAATAGCTCTGATCCCCGGGCAACTTTATTTATTAACATACAAATAACATTTTAGTACAAATAAAATATCACCATACACCAGTCCACAGACAATGAAGACATGATGTGGCTTTCAAGGAACTCTTATGCTTTAAATAAGAAATCAGTACTACACCAGAAGGGGTCTTTGAGGTAGCTTAGTGGAAATTGGTTCTGAAGTTATATAATGAGATGGCAATGGCAGCCTCTCAAGCAATGAGAATAGAACCAGGGAGATAGAAGTAGAAGTAGAGACAGTTTATTAAGAAAAAGAAAAGACAATTCCTGAGAATGGAAGTAGGGAGCTGAGCGATGGCTTAGCTGGTAAAGTGCTTGTGCTGCAAGCAGTAAGACTTGTGTTCAATCTCCAGAACTCATATAAAAAGTTTGACATCCCAGCAATGATGAAGTGGAGACAGGAGGATCCCTGGGTCTTGCTGGTATAGCCTAACTGGATTGGTGGGCTCCAGGCCAGTGAGAGACCCTGTTTTGAAGGCGATGGATGGTGTAACTAAGGAGTAACACTTGAGGTGGTCCTCTAGCCTCCAAATGTGCAGGTATACACACACACACACACACACACACACACACACACACACACACACACACACGAGAATGGAAGTGGACCAAATATGGGAACATTCTGAAGCCCAAAAGCCTTGTATGAGGAGTATCTTGATCCTTTATGGGTGATTTATGTAGGTCCACACACTCACACATTTGAAATCATGATTTTTTTCTCATTTGTACTGTTTTATTACAAGTAGCTTGTGATGTATGTGTGAAGAGATCCAGTCTTCTAACCATGGTTTCTTTGCTATGTTAATCACGATGCCTCTCTCTCTATGATCCATTATCCTGCCACAACCTTCAATTCTGTTTCCACAGTACCTTTCAGGTTTGTACTTAGTTTATATGAAAAACAAAGGCTTGAAACCCAGGTCCCCATGTCTTATTGGAAGGACAGTGCTCTGAAGGTAACAGCTATGGTTCTAAGATATAGAGATGGTGGGCAGGGGGATACTTGTTAAAGGGATTGTGGGGGTGGTGGAGGTAGTTCAAGTGAGCAAAGAGAATCAACTCTAGAAAGAAGGGGTACAGCTGAAGCTACATAACTGCAAATCCAATAACCCTGTGGAGAAAATGTTCCTAGCATGTTCCAAAGCATAGAGTAGCTGCTGACTAAGTAAGGGATGACAGAATAGGGACTCGTTTAGTATAATAATGAGACTTTATCTATCAGGTTTTAATCCAAAGAAGAGACTGCTGTGGTTTATGGACATAAAGGTGATTTTCACATCACTACAGTTGCCTTTTTACTTTAAATAATTTGCTGGGAGGTGGTATGGACAGTTCCCCTCTAAGTTACAGGCCTTGTTATGCACTGTTTCTTCTCTTAAATTGCACTAACAATTAACACTCTGAAAATATTAGCTGATAATAGTTACAGTATGCTGTCTTTATGTGCTTTAAAGTTGTCCCAATAACTGTGAGATGGGTAAATGGGGAAGCAAACACAAAGGTTAAGTGACTTATACAAAACCATACCTGTGGCCGAGTTGTCCTAATAAACAGGCTTAAAGATAAACCTGGGCTGGAGAGATGGCTCAGAGGTTAAGAGCACTGGCTGTTCTTCTAGAGGTCCTGAGTTCAATTCCCAGCAACCACATTGTGGTTCACAACCATCTATAGAGATCTGGTGCCCTCTTCTGGCCTGCAGGCTGAACACTCACTGTACACATAATAAATAAATAAATCTTTAAAAAAAAAATTAAAAAAAAAAAGATAAACCTTAAGAGAAACTTCAGCAAGCTAGTTGTTGAAATTTGTTTAGAGCCTAATGTCAGGACCAGAAACGTCACCTTCCAGCTGGTGTATTGATCTGGTGTTATCATTCCCCAAGCCAAGAAAGATTTATGATTGTGCAATTTGACAGGGAAGGAAACTTGGGTCCATTCATGTGATGAGCAGAACTAGGAATAGAATCTAAATTTGGCCAATTATAGAGCCCAGGATCCAAGAGGTACATTCCTTTGATGTTTACCAGTGCAAACTCAGTGCAAACATTCCTGATGACGGGGTTTCATAACTCTGGGTGTGCTTAAGAATTCTTGTTGTTTTTGTTTTAGTTTTTTTTTTTTTTCATTCAAAAGTTTTAAATTTTATGTGTATGGGTGTTTGCTTGCTTGTATTTTTGCACACCATCTGCATGCAGTGTCAGTGGCGGTCGGAAGAGGGCGAAGTATCTGCAGAGACGTATGGTTTTGAGCTGCATGTGGCTGCTGGGAATTGAACTCAGGGTCTCTGGAGATTAGACAGTGCTCTTAACTGCTGAACTGTCTCTCCAGCCCCTCGCCTGGAAAAGTATTAATAATAAAACACTTTCTGAGATTTTTGTTTAATTTCCTGAGCATATGTCTCCAGTATTTTTTTAAGCTCTTCAATTTCCTCTCTTCTCCAGTATACACAGAACCAATCTAAGGGTAACAGTTCTCAATCAGGGGTTTGCCCTGCTCACCCCCTGTCTTCCTGTGTCATCTCATAATAACGAGATATTTTTGGATGCTACAACCAAGGGTGGCTTCTAAAGGAAAGGAATTATGGATACTGCTAAATGACCTATAGTACAAGTGAAAATAGTGCCTGATTCTTCTCAACACACATACTAGCTTTATCCAGTCAAAAATTAATATTAATCTTTTCATATAGTTGTTCCATTGTCAGAGTGCCTAAAATTTCAAACAAAGCCCAATTTTCTTCCAATGTACACATAAAGCCCATTTTTTTTTAATGTAGAAAAAAATTCTCTTTTAAATAGATATGTTAATTGACTTACCAAGTCTGGGTAGAACAGTAGAATCCCAGGGAATTTCAAAACAGCCACCTGGTGTTCAAGAGAGAGAGAGAGAGAGAGAGAGGAGAGAAAGCATAGCCGCTTGAGCCAAGTCAAGCCTTGGCTTTACAGGCAGGGGCCCTGTTCGGCAGGGCAGGCCTGAGTTGTTTGTAGCAGTTGCAAGTAGCTCCAGCTGCGGGTCAGTCAGGCCTGGGCCCGAGCTAGGGAGCGGGCTGTCCAGGTCGGAAACCGGACCCGCCGCCAAGCCAAACCAAGCGGTTTTTAATGGATTCTTGTCACGTTGGGTGCCAAATGTAGATGTAACCAACCTTCTTATTAAATAAGAAACACAGAACCAATGCAAAGAAGAAAGCCAAGAGATCAGAGCTAAGAGCTAAAACCTTACCCTTCCTCCTGCAGTGGTCCTACCTCTCCGAACCAGAGCTACCCCTGTGTTAAAGTCTTTATATAGAGTTCCTGTCCTGCCTTCTCATTGGTTGTAAACCCAACCACATGACCGCCTCCTCACGGCCTGTCTGTATAGGCCTCCAGGTTTTCCATGATTGGTATTGAGATTAAAGGCATGTGTATCCAATAATGGCTGTATCCCTGAACACACAGAGATTTACCCAGCTCTGCCTACCAAGTGCTGGAATTACAAGCGTACGCTACCACTGCCCTGCTTTCCTATGGCTTGTTAATAGCTCTGACCCCCGGGCAACTTTATTTATTAATATACAAATAACATTTTAATACAAATAAAATATCATCATACCTGCCTGCTATGGGTTTAACTTCCATAAATGAGTTCCAGGGATGGTAGTCGTGTTCTTATCTTGTGGGAAAGTTTAATTTGGAGTGATTCAAGAGGGAATGCTGGAATGCTAGGGTCACAACCTCAGTAATCTGACCTTGTCTTTGTCCATGGAGACAGGAATGGTGATGGGAGGGGTGATGGGACACTATCTAACAGCAGCTACTGTCTTTCCTGTGGTCCCCACCATTGAGAGTACAGTGCAGACACGATGGTGAGGCCAATGCAGGAAAACTGAGGAAGACACTCTGTCCTTGATGGCTTCAGGTGTAAAACATTACTGTGTTTATGATACATGGGGGCATCCCTTTTCAGTGACATGGGAGCAGCAGTACCTGGCTCCTCTCTTTAGATGAGAGTGTCCTCATCCTATACCCATGAGAGATGAAAATCAGAGTGCAGTGGGACATTCCCTTGGGCCTCTTTCTATATGACACTTGTTCTTCCTCAGCCCCTCAGCTGATTGTGAGAAGAATGTGGACCCCAAGACCATCAAGGCCTATCAGGAGACAGAGGGAGCTACAGAAGGCAGCCAGAGAGACCCAGCAATGGCCACTCAATACTCTGCAGATCCCAGCACCCCAGAGCTGGAGAGCAGCCCTGATGTACCCAATCAGGTCATCAAACTTGAGGCCTGTGTCAGCAGGTAAGGTCTTACACTGGCCTTCTGATGCCTTTGACCAAGGTTTCTGTGAGGGCCACAACATAGGTGGGAGCTGCTTCTCTCACTCCAGGCCATTGGCTGGATTCTTCTCTGAATATGCTCAGGATGTTGATAGCCTAGTCCTTAGGCAGTGTGGACAGCTTCCTGAGATTTAAGAAGCTGGGATGGGGTTGTAATCAATCAAGAAGGCTGGCAATTTCCCAGAGTGTACAAGTGTGGGGTCCTAGGGATGATGAAGACTATTTTTATTTATACAATGATGGTGTCAAAAAGTATGACTGTTATGATTCTGCCCCCACTCCAGCTTCATGACTGCATATGCACAGTTCAGTAGCTAAGCAAGGGATCTTACGTCTTACATCATCCATGTGCTGTGTGATTATGTAATGCACGCAATCTGCATATGCGTGGTGTAGCTCTGTAAGCCCACTTGTGCATGTGCAGAGGAATCCTTAAAAAGCCGGATACAGACTCCTCCCTTCTCTTCTTTGCTCTCTCCTCCCCCCACTCTCTCCCTCTCCTTCTCTCCTTCTCTCTCTCTCTCTCTCTCTCTCTCTCTCTCTCTCTCTCTCTCTCTCTGTCTCTGTCTTCCCAGGCCTGGTTACTCTCTTATATCCCCCTCCCTCTCCTAATAAAGCTCTGATACTGGGTTTTGTCATGTCTCATGACATTTTCACCCGGTAACAGTGCTGCTTATTATTTTTTTACAACAACAACAGAGAGCATGAGTTACACAGACTGTGAGGGAGGGAGAAATAGAATGAAAAAGAGTAATAAAGTGAAACATAGACAGCCACAGGACAAAGAAGAGAACATGCTTGAGAAAGCAAGATAAAGAGTGAAGAGGAATGTTGGTTTTGATGTGTCTCTGTACATGACTGATGGGTACTGTGACTGTAAATAGAGGTGACTGTGAAGTATGGGCAGATGTTCAAGTCTAGACTCTTGAGAAGGCTCAGTCCACACCATGTTGTTCCACACAACTCTGGGCATGCACACAGATTACATGCACAGTGCTTGTGCTGCTTGGTGATTTCTAGGGTACAAGCAAAAGTGTTAGCCACTCATGAGGAGCAAAGCAAAAGATTACTCACAGGAGACAGAAATGTTGAGAGTCAAGACTCTTTCTAACCAGGGAGACAGGAGAAGGTACAGTTGAGCAAGGACATTGATGAAACAACTTTGTAGTTATTGTCACATCATGTGGTTTCCTTCAGTGCTTCATGTCTGTATACTTAGGGCTATAATACATGCAGCCTACTTTTCACAACAGCCAAGGTATTGGACCAGCCTAGGTATCGAGCTACAGAGAAGTGGATAAAGAAACTTTGATCTCTGTGCACAATGGAGTTCTTTTTAGCCATAAAAAGTTAAGTCATTTGCAGGAAAATGGGTGTAACTGGAGATCACCATATTAAGTCAGTCCCAGAAAGATAATCATGTTTTCTCTATTTTATGGTTTCTAGATTTTTTTAAAGGTACATAAAATCAATGATACCACATAGAAATGAAACTGGCTAGGGGAACAAAGGGAGTTAATTGGAGGGGTGTGTGAAATGGGAGGTAAGGTGTCTGGGGGAAATGTGTTCAGTATACAAAATGCTTGTTTAAAATTGCCCTTATGTAATATAGTACCAAGTGCAATGAAGAGACAACAAAAAGTTTTAAAATAAGTTTTAAAAAGTACACCCTACAGATGCAGGAGAAGGTGACTGGTCCTGTTTTCCTTTCCTTTGGTTATGGATGGGCAGTAGTGGTGTGGCTTTCTTTACAGGAAGAGTGAGGTTGGAACTAGGTTTGAAAGCTAAGGAGAATTTCCCCCAATAGATGTGCTAGAGAAGGCATTCCAGGTTGAAGAAACCAGAGGCCTGGCAAAGGGTAGGGTATATGATGAATGTAGAGTCAGGGTGACTACAGGGAATGTGAGGGAGTCTGCTGGAGTCCAGCTGCAACTTGTCAAAGGGATCTTGTAGGGAGGAGAGAGAAATAGGAAGTATTAGATAGAAAGATAAAAGGAGACCCTAAGAAAGACAGAGACACAGGATAGCTTCGGGAGGGCCCTGGGTCAATACCCAGTTGCCTCAAGGTTTATTCCAAAGTATTCCAAAGGGATTTATACAATACCAAGGGGAAAAGCAAAAGACCTCCCCCTTTCAAGATCAAAGCACAACATACAGCCAAGTGTAGACCCTTCAAAACACCTGGTAACCACACCTGTGGTCAAATCATTCCATTATGCAGCCCTGCTGGGTAAAGCAAGCCCAGATTCCCTGACCTTGAGTAAGGTCTTACTAGGGAGCCCCTGTGTGCCCAGCCACAGGAATGAAAGCTAATTTGTGACTTACCAGAAAGCACTGAGAGGGGGCTAGGCAAGCACTTGCTCCTGAGGAGCCAAGGGGCCAACAAACATGGTTTTCATATAGGAGACAGCCTTGACAAGATGAGTTACAGTGGGGTTAGGCCAAGGAGATGCACAGCACACAAGGTAGGAGACCTGTACAGAGTTTGTGGCTCAGGCTGAGGGTGATCTAATAAGGCTACAGGTGTTGCTGACTTTAATTAAAGGTAATGGTGACAGGGTGGACACTGAAAGGAACTAGTTGAGGATGAGGAAGTTAGAGGAGTTGCTGTACAGATGTGATGTTAAGGTCATTGGGCCATGTTGACTTTGAAGTGCTTGTAGAGGATCCAGGTGATAAGTCAACCTACTAGGCTGGAATTGAGTAAAGATATGACCTCTGTCTAGAGTGCTGAGACTTGTCAGCTTATAGGTAACAAGTAAAGGGTGTGGATGAGAAGAAGTCTGGAAGCCAGTGTTTATTCTCTGCTTTTCTCTACAAAATCCCCATGCTACTTGTCTGGCTAGCTGCCGCTGTCAGCTGGATGGGTAAATCCATGTGGTTCAGGGATGTAAAGGGAGCCTTCCTTTTGGTTACAAACTTGTAGGCTCCAAACCTTAATCAGTAGCCATTTCTCTACATTTCTGCTTTCTTTTTTAACTCAAAATGAGAAAAGCAGAGGTAGTAATGAGTGTCTTCTCCTAAAATCCTAAGCAAGGAAGGAAATGAAATCGGAAAAAAGTAACATTAATTGCCTTTCTCATTGCTGTGGCAGAACACCTGAAAAAAGCAATTTATGGAGAGCCGAATTGATTTTGACTCACAGCTTGAGGGAAATAGTCCATTATGGTAGGGAAGGCATGGCATTAGAGCATGAGATGGCTGGTCACATTGCATATGCAATCAGGAAGCAGAGCTGAAGGCTATTCAGCTCTGTTCCTCCTTTTTCATTTTTTATTCCGTTCAGGGTCTCAACTCATGTTGCCACCCCAATTCAAGAAGAACCCTCCTTCTTCAATTCAGTATCTCTAGAAACACCCCCATATATATGCCCAGAGGTATGTCTTCTAGATGATTTTAAACCCCATCAAGTTGGTGGTCGAGATTAACCATCACAATGGTAAAAATAAGAGAGAAGCAAAACCATGTAGGCAGAAATTTGAAGGAAAATACTGAAGGGCCTGGAAGGAAGATGATTTGGGTGTGGTACCAAGAAGGAAATATTTGGATAAATGGAAAAATTAGTAAAGATTGAAGTCATGGAAACCAAACCAAGGTGACTATACTGTGATTGCCACTTTGAGACTGCCTGGTTTCTGAGAGTTAAGTGGCTGCTTGGCTCTTGAGATGGGTTCCCCAATGCCCTTGGTAAGTGACGTCCAGACCCCAGAGACCCAGCAAAGGTCAGGCCTCTACTCCTCTCAGCATAATATATACAATATTTATTTTTTCTCAGCACTCCAGTTGCTTGCAAGGAGAATAATGCAGCCCCCAAGATCAGTGAGGCCTGGCAGGAGACACCTGACCCCCCACGAGGCTGCCAAGGAGACCGAGCTGTGGCTACTCAACAACTTGCAGATCCCAGCACTCCAGAGCCACAGAGAAGCCCCAGCAGATCTGAGCAGCAAACCAAACTGGGCAATAGTACCAACAAGTAAGGGCTTGCAACTGGCTGTCTGCTGCCCCTGGCCCAGGACTGGCATAGAGCACCATGTTATCCAGCAGCCAGTTAAAGCCTGAAAACGTGGGGTTGGAGTTAAAGATATGGGATATTTTTGCATTCATGGGGTTGTAAGGTCTCAGAAAGGTAGAGCCTGGTATGGATGAGACTTATTGCCATATTTAAAGGCTGCCAGTTGGATAAGTTCTCTCAATGCCACCACAACCAGTTTGGCCTGAGATGGACCAGTAAGGCAATAAATCACCTCTGTAGTGCTGACCTAGGAGTGTGTGGTGCTTGAAATGGGCTGACAGCAGTAGTTTGAGGAAATAAGGGTCAGAAGTTTTCTGCAAGAGGAGGAAAGACCAAGGCAGAAGACAGTAGGAAGTAAACAATGTTTCCTCTCTCACTTTCTGTGAGCAATTCAGGCCTGCCATAGTGGGAGCTTTCTGACTCCTGGCCTTGGAAAAGCAGGACCTGACCATGCCAAGGTTGCTAATATTTTTTCACACTGGAAAAAAAAAAAACGCTTTATTTCCCAAAGTCTAGTACAACTGTTCTTTATCCTGAAATATTCTGTCAATTCTCATTTACAATGTGGGCTTAAGGGTTGTTGCATGACTTGATGGCATTCTCTCTATTCCTACAAGGTCACTTTCATTTCCATTTCTGTGATGAAACTTTCTGAACTCCACATCCATCATGGGTTCCTTGGCAGCTGTCACTGGTTACTGCCTTAGCAGGATTGCAGTAGAGGCTGCTGATCAAGGCAGCACATGCTTATTATCCTCGGTATTCCTTTATTTCTTGGGCTTACCAGCTATTATTCTTCCTTCTGACTTGATTTTGACTGACTGTCTTGTTCTCACCTTTGCCTTTCCATGTCTCTCAGTTCCAAGAGTCTTAACAAGAATTAGGATATAGTCAGAGCCCAGAGCCTGCACTGTTAATCACCAGGATGCGCATACTGTTTTTCTGTTTGTAATAAGCCAAGAAAAAAATATCTTGTGCTATGACAGAGAGGGGCTCAGGCAAAGTACTGTTAACAGGGAAGACCTGTAGTAGCTGAAGAAAGCAACCTACAGAAAGAAGAGGAAAGAGGGCCTGAAAGACGGGCCCTGTGGTTGATGGGGATAGAATAAGGTGAACAGGGGACAGGAGGTAGGCTTTTGTAGGTTAGGGAGAGGAGATCATTGGGAAGGGATTGAAATGCTTCATTACCACTAGGGATGAAGAACTTTGAAACTTGAATGTTTTTTTACTTTGTCTCTTTACTGTTGCCATGTGTGTGTGTGTGTGTGTGTGTGTGTGTGTGTGTGTGTGTGTGTGTGTGTGTGTGTGCAGGCATGCTTACCATGTATGAGTATGTGGAGGCCAGAAGATGAGCTCAAATCTGTTTATCACTCTCCACTTTATTAATGTTTTGCATGGGTATGTATGTGGTATGTGTGCATATGTTTGCATGTGTAGGTACATGGTGGGTGCAGGTGCATGTATGTGGGTCCAAATTGGCATCAGATATCTTTAATAATTCTCTTTTTATTGAGACAGGATATCTTGCTAACCTGGACCTTGCCAATTCCTGTTAATATAGCTAGCCACCTTGCTTCAGGGATCCTCTATTTCCACCTCAACAGTGCTGAAATTATAGGTGGCTGCCACATTGCCTAGATTTTTATATGTATCCAGTCCTCAAATTTGTGTGGAAAGTGCTTTTATTCTCCCCAGCCTCTCTACTTTATTTTTTAGACAGGGTCTCTTATCACACCTGGATCTCACTGTTTCGGTATGAAGGGTCCTAACATGAATTAGAATGCTCATAGTCAAGAGCCTAGAGCCTGCACTATTAATCACTGGGATATGTATACTGAGTCAGTAAGGGCTGGCCAAAGAAAGGCCTTGTGAGCTGCCTTGGAGGCTGGCATCCAGGACCAGGGCCATGTGTTGCAGCCAAAGTGACTGGTGTCTTGCAGAATGAGGTGCATCTGATCTGCCTTCTCATTAACGCCTGAGTCTAACTCTTCCCATAGTCTCCTGTTCTCCAGGGAGTTTGGTATGGGGCGAGGGAGTTAACCCTACAAAAGGATTGTCTTGTCTGGTTTCCAAACTAGAAAACTATACTGTTTTCTCCAGCTGCTCCCTCCTAGCTGCCACATTCCCAGTAGCCTGATAGATAAGTTACCAATGTCAAGGCCCTAGGCTGTAGTCCAGAAATTAGAGTAGAAATTGAAATATGGAAGTTTCACTCCTGAGTCATTTTGAAGTGGGCTGTGTCTCCTGCCATCCTTACCTAGATTTTCTCATGAGTATAGAGAGAGGCTCTATTCACTGATCTCTGAGAAACATTCAAGAGCAATAATAAGATTTGCAGCTACTGGTCCCAAAACACTGGCATGTAGCCAGAAAGTTTCTCCAGTCCAGCCCAGCCTTGCAGTCCTGCAGCCGCTTATAAAATAACCACTCAGAGGCTTAATTTTCTTTACAAACTGTATGGTCTATGGCAGGCTTCTTGCTAGCTAGCTCTTATATCTTAAACTAACCCATAACTGTTTATCTATGTATCACCATGTGTTCTGTGGCTTTATCTGCATCCCATTACATGTTGCTCATTCAGCAGCTGGCTCAGGTCTCTCCCACCTCTGCCTTTCTTCTTCCTGCCTGCCTCTAAGATGCCTTGCCATAGGCCAAAGCAGCTTATTTATTAACCAATGGGAACAACATATATTCATAGCATACAGAAAGACATCCCACAGCACTGGCATGCTTTCAAAGGTCTTGAAGTGGCAAACTTGAGGTTAGTCCATAAAGCACTATTTAACTCTGAAAGTAGAGACATGCTCACTCTTTTCTCCATTTCTTTCAGGCTGAAAGGCCCTTCAAGCTGCACAGTCACTGTTAATGTTGCTACCACCTCTGAACAGACTCACTTGCATATTCCAGCTGCCTCAAGTGAGCTGGACTTCAGCTCAACTATGTAAGAAGGGGCATCTAGCAAGTTGCAATGTTCTTAGGCATGGAGGTTCCCTGTAACCTCCTTGCAAGTAAAGGATGCTGCTTTTGTTCTGTGTTGCTTTCTCTTTGACAACTCCTAGCATCCTGTAACAAATGGACAGATATAATATAGTTCTTAGTTCCTCAAGTATAAATCTTGCACTCCCCAAGCCTATTGGTAGGATTAGACATGGTCCTGCAGCATGCTTTCCCTCTTCTCATCTCAACAAGAAGCTAAAGTGGCACATATAGGACACTAGCAGATGCAATCAGCCGCAGGGCTTTGCTATCTGTAGAGCTTTGCTAGCTAGCATCCCTGGGAGACATGCCTGGGAAGACCCATGGAAGCCAGGGAGGCCAGGCCATTGTTTCTCTCTCTCTCTCTCTCTCTCTCTCTCTCTCTCTCTCTCTCTCTCTCTCTCTCATATTCACTCCTTCAGCTGTACTATTGAATACCTTTTAGTCTACAAGAAGGGGTGCCATTCTAGGGAGCCTACTGAGTGAGAGGTGTGTGTTGAGATACCAAAAAAAGTTCTCTGCTGATATCAGGCCAGAGGACTAGAGCAGGGAATTGAGGGTCAACAATGAAACTACACTGAGCCAGCATGAAGCAGACCTTGTTTCCAAAGCTTGCAGAGGCTTTCTAAAGGCTTAGAATAAGGTGACTTGTAGGCCCCTGAAACATGATTGATAGGGGAATGTGAAGTAGCAGGTAAATGCTACAGGTAAGGTGCTGAGTAGAAAGAAACAGCTGTCCATCATTCAGTCACTGACAACATTCTGATTGTTGGTAGAATGGAGAAAAGCTTCAGCCATAGAGGAGGGAAAGGAAAGCGAAGGGACTGACTCACAGAAGTCTGGGAAAGGGGTGGAGGCTTGAGGCTTCTATGGAAGAGGGCATGCTACCATTGATTTCAGGGAGCCACCTTTTACATCTCTAAGACAAAACATGAAATGAACACAAGAGCTAAGATTTGAGCCCACGTGACAATAGCATCAACAGCCTGGCATCTCTGTCTGCAGCTACCCTTGCAGCCTGGCTTGTGAGGCCCACTAGCCCCTCTATCCTAGGCCTTCACATGAGCTTCTGTATTTCCATCAAACTGTGCAGGGGCCACTGACCCTCCTCTGTGGGCCAGGCCCAGTCCCCTGGAACCTTCTAGTACACGTCCTATTCTGTTGTGCTCCTTCTACAGCAAAGGGATTCTCTTCGTGAAGGAGTACATGAATGCTAGTGAAGTGTCTTCTGGGAAGCCAGTGTCTTCACACTATGGCAGGTAAGAACAAGTTTCAGCTTTGTTGTCATAACCTGTACCAGGCCCAATGCTGCCTTCATTCCTACATCCCATTCCCTCATTCAGGACTCAGTAGAGAGTAGCTACTGAATGAATGAAGAATACTGCAGGTGCCTGCTAATGCATGATTTATGGATTTCCAGGTTTTCTGTCTAGTTAGGTGGATAGAAAATCATCTTGAGCCCCCATGTTCTTTCATGCTAGGTGGCCTCATATACAGACACCTTTCCACTGATCACCTTGTCTGCTTGCTTTCTGATGCCATGAAGGAAGGTACTCCCATGTCTTTTCAGTGCTGAACCACCCACCCACACTCTAGCTTGTGTCAAGTTGATATAAAAGTACCCAGCATAATTGACCCCTTGTCATCTTGACACACAAGCATATCACTGTTAAGTCATAACCTTTCCTTTCTTCTTCATCCTCAAGATCACATGTTAATATCTACATTACATTAGAAACATTCTATAATTTAAAAGTCCCACAGTCTTTAAAAAATTCAGTCTCTTTAAACACCCAGTCTCTTCTAAAATTGAAACTTTTAAAAAATCCAATGTCTCAATTGTGGGTACCTATAAAATAAAATTAAATATTTTTTTACTTCAAGAGGAAACAACCAAGGCACAGTCACAAGCAAATAAAAGTAAAACCAAACTCTGTTAACAACTCAGTATCCAATGTCTGGGGTCCACTCACCATCTTCTGGGCTCCTCCAAAGTGCTTGGGTCACTTCTCCAGCTCTGCCCTCTGCAGCACACACAGCTTGTCTTCTCTAGGCTCTGGGCTGCTGCTGTTGGGGTCTCTTGCTACAACTGGGCTATACTTTCACCAATAGTAGCCTCTCCCAGGCTCTCTTCAGAAATTCCAGTCCTGCCACACAGTGCCAAGCCTCGGCTGTTCTCCATGACCCACCCTTTCATGCCTTCAAATCCAGTACCACCTGGGTGACTCTTACACTACCAAGTTCAGCTGCCAGCACAAGGTACAGCCTTGGCCTCCTCTGGAATCCAGCTTCTGTGTGCTAACTCTGAGGAAACACTTCCCACAAGATTTCACCTCATTGAAGCTGGTATCTTAATCAGAGCTGATTTCTTCAGCCCCAGCTGACCAGCATCAAGTATCTCAGCAAAACAAAAGTTTCACTTTAGTGCTTCTGGTTTCTTATTAATCATAGCTGATATTTCAGCTCCAGCTAACCAGAACTACAGATTCTTAACTCAGAATATGCAAAAGCCGTTATAAGAGTCATTAAGGGACACTCTCTCAAACTTCCCTCTGGAACTTCACAAGCCAGGCCTTGATCATCTGAATTGCTCTCAGCATTCTTAGTTTCCAAGTTCCCACAGAACAGCTCACCAAGCTTCGAACACTAAGTAGCTTTTCTCACCCAGAGTTCCAAAGTCCTTCCACAATCCTCCCCAAAACATGGTCAGGTCTATCATAGAACTACCCCACTATCCTGGTACCAATTTCTGCCCTAGTCAGGGTTACTATTGCTATGATGAAACACAATGAAGTTGGGGAGGAAAGGGTCTATTTGGCTTATACTTCCATATCACTGTTCACCATCAAAGGAAATCAGGACAGGAACTCAAACAAGGCAGGAACCTGGAGTCAGGAGCTGATACTGAGGTCATGGAGGAATGCTGCTTATTGGCTTGCTCTCATGGCTTGCTCAGCCTGTTTTCTTATAGAACTCAGGACCACCAGCCAAGGCATGGCACCACCCACAATGGGCTGGGTCTTCCCATGTCAATCATCAATTGAGAAAATGCCTTACAGGCTTGTCTACAGCCTGATCTTATGGAGGCATTTTCTCAATTGAGGTTCCCATTTCTCAAATGACTCTAGCTTGTGTCACCTTGACATAAAACTAGCCATCACATCTAGTTTCTGATTTCTTCAGAGTATGGGCTCCTGAAAGTTCCCATAGTAACCCATACATATCCACAAGTAGTAAAACTCTACTTTTTTCCCTGCTGGTCAAAGGAACTGAAGATCCTGCTGGCTCATGTGCTCTCTTCTCCATTACATTCCCTGCAGTACCAGCAGCATTGAGGACTCATTGAACCTGGAGAAGAAACCCCCACATGAAGGCACTCCACCCTCTGAGAGGTATGGCTGCTTTTTTTGACAGAGGTCTTCCTAGGTGAGAGAGAGCTAAGGAAGATCTCCACATGGGTCTTTTCTCTGCTGCTTTGAAGCCTTTGATCTGTTTGAGAACAGTCACACAGTGGAACACTTCATAAGGTGGTACTATCCCAATTAGGATGTCACATTTGCATCAGCTGAAGCCTGTAAACCCAGATGAAGTATAGACACAAAAGGCTTCTGAGAAAAAAAATTTCAGTGTCTGAAAGAAAACCCAAGGAGGCTCTTGACAGCAGGATAGGCTCTTAAGAATAGAACCCAATGATTCATTTGATTAAATCGCATATCTGCCTGTCCCCTCCCATCCACTCTCTGCCCTTGCAACCTCCCCCAAAAACAAAACCAAATTTAAAAGGAAAACCAAAAAAGAAACAAAACAAAGAAACAAAACAAAACAACAAAAAGAAAAGAAGAATCTTGTGGAAGCTGTAGTGTGGCCCAGTGAGTCACACCATTTACCCTTTAGTCTGTTCATCTTCACTTGCAAGTGTTCATTCCTATGACTTGGAGACCTGGAGACTATTTTGACATCAGACATGGAGATGCAAAGTTTGTAGTTTGCACAGCTGGTTTTGGGTCTTGTTTTGGTCCAGTATTTCCTCACTATGCTTTCCCTTGCCACTACTTGATGAACTCTCCAGCACTGCCTTGGCTAGCTCACACAATGCAGCTTGTAGCAAGGAGCAGGCCCAGTTCTCCTGCTCTTGAACCCTCAGATCTGGGTCTCCCTCATATCTCATATCATCAGGGCCCAGGGCTCTACAGTTTGCACAGGTGAGTTTCAGGGCCCTTTCTCCCAATTGCAAGAGACCTGACCCCAGGGTCATGAGTCATTGGTCTGGCTCAAGGCCACTGGTTTCTGCTACACCACAGATAATGATAATGAGCTCTCACTGGGCAGTTCTTGGATATCCTGTTTTTGTCCTATGTCATGGACATCCTGCTGTTTTGGATCTGTAGTTCTGCCCCCCTCACTTACTCCAACAGCTTTTCGATGAGGTGGATGTTGAGGTGTGCTAACTCATAGACCTGGTTCTGGGGCAGGGTGGTAGCTGGGTTGGTCAGCTCACTAGCTTTCCCTACAAACCCTGCATCTCCATGTCTGATGTCAAAACATCTTCAGATCTCCAACTCCTTGCAGCTTTGTTGACCAAACACACTTCTCTCTCTTGGGCTGGTTCCACTCCCTGTTAGCAGCTTTTCTCATCAGGTATCCCATGGCTCTGGCATCTCCAACATCTTGGAGTCTCCAGGCAATCCAGGCTTCACCTTCACAGCTTCACATATTAATATTATTCTCCTCTGAAACCTCTTGAGCTGGGCCCCAACAGTTCAAATCACACTCAGCACCATTGTCTTCTTTGTCCCTACTAGTATGTCCCATTAAGGCCCACTTAAAGCATTCCACTCCTTTCCTAACCCAAAGTATGAAATTCCTCCAAACAAAAACATGGTCAGGCCTATCACAGCAATACTCCCATCCCTAGTACCAACTTCTTTCTAAGACTTTTATTGCTGTGTAAGAGGTTGGCTTACAGTTCAGAGATTTAGTCCATTATTGTCATGGGAAGAAGCATGGTAGCATGCAGGCAGACATGGTGCTGGAGAAGAAGTAGCTGAGAGTTCTACATCCAGATCTGCAGGCAGCAGGAAGAGAATGATACACCAAGTCTTGCTTGAGCATCTGAAGCCTCAAAGCCCACCACCAGTGACACACTTTCTCCAACAAGGCCACACCTATTCCAACAAGGCCATACATCCTAATAGTGCTACTCCCTATGAGCCTATGTGAGCCATTTTCATTCAAACCACCACACATGGCAAACCATCAGTGTCCATGGCAGTGCTGGGTCCTGGTTGCTAGTGACATCCTGGGCTTCTGTTAGAATCAAGTCTACATCTCTGGAAGATAGAATTCCTAATTTTAGCCTGTAGGATCAGAGAAGAGAGACTTTTTCAGCAGTTCCTGTTAAGGATAGAAAATAAATAGGAGGATCAGAGATGATTCTCAGAAATAAAAGGAATCTTAGAACAGAGGATACTACTGATCCAGAAGTCAGTATCTTCTAGGAGTTTAGGATGAGTTATGAGCAGGCTACACAATCACACTAAAGATAAGGAGGCCTTGATAGTAACTGGGAGAAAGGTTGGGCTTCATGGTCCCAGGCATGCAGAAGAGGGCTATGAATACTGGTTTGGAAGAATAGTTCCAAGTTTGAGAACCAGTTTGGCATAGGTGACACAATATACACACTTGGCTCTCAGTTATACAACATAAAACACAATGGGAAGCTGGGAATACTGGCAAACCTAGGTCTGTCTGCACCAAATAAGATCTGCTGCATCATATAAGAAGTATGGGTACCAGCCCGAGTACCTGTTTCTTGTTTCTGTCTCCTAGACCAACTGAAGGGGTCTGTACTTACTGCAGCCATGAGATCCGAGACTGTCCAAAGATTACCCTTGAACATCTTGGCATCTGCTGCCATGAGTACTGTTTTAAGGTAAGAAAGAGCATAGATCTGATGAGAGAGTATGGAAGTATAGAGGACATTGGATTTCTGCGCACAGCTCTGAACAATCTTAGAGGCTCAATAGAGCACTGAGCTGACTAGAGAGGAATGTTGGCAGTTCCACATGGTTAGTAACATAATGGAGGCAAAAAGGGTGTTCTGTGCAGAGTCTATTTCTCATGGAGGACCAGTAATGCAAAGGTCCCAACATAGAAACATGGCTCATTCTAACTGGCATGAAGAAGATGGCAAAAATGGGGGGGGGGGGTACTGTATTAAATTTTCCTAGGGGAATGTATGAGCAGATGTCCTCTCACCCCATATAGAACACCAAAAAACAGATGAACGAAATGATTCCACTCAAGTCTAGTTTGGTGAAACAGTGAGTTTAACCAGAGTTAATTTTAATTACAGGAGTATAGGTGAGGGGGTGGCTATAGGAACATGGGTAACTTATGACATAGCTACAGCACCAAAGAAAAGTACCCTCCTCATAGCAAGCATTAACTGCTTATATATTTTTGGGGTGGGGTAGGGCCTACTGTATCTAGTCTAATATGCTTCATATACCTCTCCTGAAGTGCCAGTGACCCTTTCATGAGCTGCCCTGTGAGTTCTACAAGGGAATGCTATTGGGCCCAGTCTTGTAAGGATCTCACATAGGTGATCATAGACACTCTGATTTTAAGATGCAACAGCCATGCCTTGCCAGGACAACAGAGTTCCACAGAAGTTTATCCTTCCCTCTGATTCCTACAATTTTTTCCATTCCTTCTTCTGTGATGTTCTCTGGGTCTTGTAAAGGGGTTATACAGATACATGATTATTTTCTCCCACTTAGAGCTACCATGCTTCAGCAATAGTATCATTCAGCACTATGACCAATTAGAAATCTAGAGTAACCACCTCTCACTACAAAAAGAAGCTTCCCTGATAAAAGTTAACAGTAGCAATAATCTGTGGTTATGAACAAATGTCTATTTAAAAGAACAACATCAGTATTTTCCACACCAGGGCCTATGCACTCCCCAGCCACTGCCTTTGACAGGGCTTACAGTATGAAATGTGAATTCCCTTCCATAAAGCTGGCCTTAAATCCAACTGGAATGTTATTGGTTATACCAGCACACATATCTCATGTATTGATAGTATAGCATGCAGGATTGTCATCCAGGTATGACTGTTGGTGACAATTATCCCTCAGCAGCCTGCATAGACATCATCTTAGTCAGTACATCACACTCATTTACTAAAGCAATGGCAGTTGTTTAACCACTGGGCCTATGACTTCCTTGGCAACAAAGGTTTTATTTAAGTTCCCTGAACCAGATGTGAATTTCCCCCTGTGAAGAAGTCCTTAAGTCCACTCAGAAAGTTGGTTCTATCTATAACCACATTTTAGTAAAAGTAGCCTTTATAAATGGTGTGCCTATAATGGTGTAAAAAGCTAGAATGTTTATATCCCTATCTCTTTAAGATATGAGAAAGGCTTAGTAATACAAAAAATCAAAATATGAAGTTTGTCATGTAGACATGAAGTAATATCTTTTTCTATTTTAATGAACTAAATAGCTGAGGGAGAGGAGGTGCATTTACTGATGAAAATGTTTTCCTCAATGTTACTTTAAATTTATCTATTTTGAACCTAAAAGTTATAGAATTAATGTGCTGCTTTGAGGAAGTAGTTCTCCATTTTTCTTGGGATGCTCTCTTGGAGGTAGAAGAATGACTGAGGACATATGTAGGTATTAGGTCTTAAGACGTCTCATGGAAAAGCCATGTACTATTCCATCTGATCCAGAAGCAGAGTATGGGTATGTCAAAAAATTTTCTGTTGTTGTTTTTTGGTTTTTGTTTGTCTGTTTGTTTGTTTTGTGCCAGTGGCACTTATCAAACACTAAGTGGGTGTCTGGCCAGAAAAACAGAACCAAGTTAACATGCAAGCCCTGCTTAACAAGGTAGGTCAGCAAACAATAGACAGGGAAACTCACCAACAATACTGCAAGATGGATTTCTCAGCATGAGTCCCTAAAACATTAGCAGTGAGAAGACATAGTTTCACGTGGTTATCCTCATCATCTTCTTTGGAGACTTTAGGGTTGCTACTAGGAGCTGACATTTCTGTTTATCACAGGAAGCTTCTTTTCATTAGACATTTTAAACACCATATTCAGCAGATCTCTGAAGAGTTTGAGTACAATTATCTATTAACTGTACCTGATTTTAAGCAAACTTTACTTGTTTTTAGTTACTTGCTTTAGGCTTAACCTTAAAAACACATACAGGAGGCTGAATAAAGCATGTCCCTGCAAATGAATTATTGTAGCTAGAGTTTTCCTGCCTGCCCCACGGTCAGGGCAAACCTCTGTCACCTGCCAGTCCCACAGCCACTCAGACCCGACCAAGTAAACACAGAGACTCATATTGGTTACAAACTGTATGGCCGTGGCAGGCTTCTTGCTAACTGTTCTTACAGCTTAAATTAATCCATTTCCATTCATGTATACCTTGCCACATGGCTCGTGGCTTACCGGCATCTTCACATGCTGTTTGTCATCGTGGCTGCTGGCAGTGTCTCTCTGACTCAGCCTTCCACTTCCCAGCTTTATTCTCCTCCTTGTCCCGCCTATATTTCCTGCCTGGCCACTGGCCAATCAGTGATTTATTTATTGACCAATCAGCAACACACTTGACATACAGACCATCCCACAGCAAATTATATTTGTACTTAGCATGACTAAGAACATAGTTCTGAGCATTAACTTCCATGTATTAATTCACTTTAACAGTTTACAATAAGCTAGTAGCTTTTTATAAGATTAGGATTTTATAGCTTTATCCCTGTTAAGTTTGAGCATTAAAACATTGAGTTGAAGATTTAATTGAAGATGTTTTAGCATCAAAATAAAACTTTAAGCCATAAATGGAGTAAACTTTAAACCATAAATATAATCCATAGGAGACTGGGAACTTTCCTGATCTTTTTTATAGTGCATCATTACAGAATATCAGTTTCTTGTATGACTCAGTTTCTCCAAATGGCTAAAGCTTAACAAAATTAACAAAGACAAAGAGGCTAGACATATATCTTTAAGTTACTTACTGTTAACCTAAGTAGATCTTAGGAATTTATAAACCTTACTTATCAAATATATATTATTCATCAAACATATGTTGTTCCTTATCTAAGATTTTTCAGAAGCCTTGTATTGAACACAGTTAGCAAAGACATAAGTGGTTAGACATACATCTCTAAGTCAGTTTCTGTTAACCTAAGTAGACCTTTATAACCTTAGGAATTGATCATCATATGAAAATCCATCTTAATCCAAAATACTCTGTAGACCTGCTGTTGCCTTAGTCTAAAAGGAGATACACTGATAAGCCAAGGGCTCAGTAGTACTAAGAAGTTATATAATTGTTGCTTTGGTTGGTTTATACTATGTAGTCATTTTAATCAAGGTGGTGAAGTCACATGGCATGTACTCTTTTTTAACCTTAGTAAAGACAGCTATCAGCCGTGTGGTTGCTATTTAAAAACATCTGTCTTCTAATAGATCTATTTTTTTAAACAAGAGTTGAATAGTAAGTTGTAGCAAATTAAGATTTTAACTGTAACCTTTTTGCTATAAGTTTTAAGCTAAATTTGTTACAGATTTTTTTTAACCAACCCAAGGAACTTAAAAAATCCTGACATAGTTTACAGCATAGTTTTAAGAGATTTTCTTTGAGAGTGGATAGCAAAGAAATAGTAGAGATAGAAGTTGTTGTTTTGTTTTGTTTTTGATTTTTCAAGACAGTGTTTCTCTCCATAGCCTGTCCTGGAACTCAACTCTGTAGACCAGGCTGGCCTTGAACTCACAGAGATCCACCTGCCTCTGCCTCCCTGAGTGCTGGAATTAAAGGCCTATGCTACCATTGCCAGGCTTAGATAGAAAGAAGATTTTTAAGACTGGAAAGTAGAAAAACCTTAGAGCATAGCAAGTTTAGATATAAGAGATTTGGGGATCATTTGTTTGTGCAGTGGCAGAAGTTGTTACCATATGAGAGAATTTGAAAATCTAGTGTGCCAATCTTTGGCCACTGATTGATCTATATACCAAGCCTTTTGCAGTAAGACAGTGAGACTTTAATAATCTTTGAGTCCAAGGAGGAAGAGAGAAAGGGTCATATAAGGCTCAAGAGGAGATAAGAAACTGGAGGCCCAGGACAGCATAAGGAAAGATAGAGCTGGTAGCCCTGACTGGGAGGAGACAAGGAAGGGGTCACACTGAGGCTCCTAGCAGGAGGTGAGGAAGATTCAGGAGGAGCTGAGAACAAAAGGAGCAGAGGGAGTGAGTATAGTGGTGACAAGAATTTCAATCTAGGGCATCTCCAAGCGAAATGAGAGACTTGTCAGAGAGAACTGTTCCAAATCACAGAGGAGGGGTGACCCTTTCTATGTGATAGGGGTCCAGTAGGGCAAGAGGAATGTCCTGGCACACCAGTGTGGCTTTTGTATTAAAAGTGGACAAAGCAGGGAGCTCCAGGGAAACACTTATGCAGTAGAAGAAGAGAGACATGGTTAAAGTAGGTAGAGGGGAAAACTGTTGAAGAGGTGGACTGGGAGAGGCTTTTGGGAAAAGAGAGGGGGTACGTTTCTTTAGCAGAGAGATGCCCACATGAGTGTTGCAGGCCAGAGAGACAGAGAGATGCCCAGGTGATAGTCATCCCAGAAGGGCATAGGAGGTTCCAAGAGCCAGGGACCAATAGTGACATGATAAGTGCACAGAAAGTATAGCAGGCTGCAGGAGCTAGAGAGACACTTACCAAGTAGATGAGGAGAGATGAATGGGTCAAGCAGGTGGAGGGAAGATGCAGCTGAAGAGGTGGACTCCAGCATTTATAGTCAAATTTGGTGGGTAGAAGAAGGCAGCAGAAAGAAGTGATCCATACATACCTTAGGAGAGTCAGGTCAGCAGCTTAGTTAAGTAAAAGACCAAAAAGTGCCTGGTTTTCCAGATCTCTCAGTATCTCCAGCCTGGGGCTTCTAGCTTCAAGGAGTCAAAGGTGCCGGGAAGGATAGTGCCAAGAAGTCCTGCCACTGACATTCCTGTGGACACGGGTTTGTGGGAAGAACTGGGCTACTAAAACATCCTTCTCTTCTGTGGAGCACTATTACCTTCCTCAGGACCTTAAACTTCATATCCTCCACCCTCTCCTAATCTTATAAGGAAATAGAGGCTGGAAAAGTTTCAATAACTTGCCCATCTCACTCAGTCAACCTGGGCTGAATTGTGAAACTGAGACCCTTAGCCAGAATGCTGATCATCCTGCCCCCCCACTCTGTGTGTGTGTGTGCATGCGCGCCAGACATTGGATGCCTTCCTCTGTGTTATTTGAGCAAGAACAGGGTCTCTCAGTGACCCTGGAGTGGTCAGAGCCACAGGAATACTCCTGTGTCTGCCACCCAAGCACTGGGATTACAGGTTTGTGCCTCTGCACCCAGATTTTATATGAGTTCTGGAGATCAAATCCACAGCAAGTGCTTTCCTGACTGAGCCATCTCCCCAGTCCCTACCAGCTTACTTTGGTGTTTTGTGTGTTTATTTGTTTTATCTTGTTTTCTAGATCAGGTTTTATAATCTATCTTTGCAATGTCTTGTTATCTCCTTGGAAGCTCAGGATGTGCCATCAGCTTACAGAACCTGCTTTGAGTCCTGACCTCAACTTTGCTTTCTCTGTTAGTGTGGGATTTGTAATAAACCGATGGGTGATCTCCTAGATCAGATCTTCATTCACCGTGACACCATCCACTGTGGGAAATGCTATGAGAAGCTCTTCTAGGTGAGTGCTGGAAGCCCATAGAATAAGCAGCCTAAAGCCTCATTAGACTAAAGGAACAAGACAAACGTTTGCCCTGGTTTGGACCTGGGTTTTACTTCAGGACCCTGCTATGATTCTCAGTCATTTAATCAGAGAATCCCAAGTCCTTGTTCTGTGCTCTATGCTACTTTGAGATCTTAAGTGATGTGAACAAAACCCCTCCCTAAAGACCTTTTCCAAGTTGCTAGAATCATAGTATGTTCCTCTAAAGAAATACCTCTCCCATCCAGAACCTCAGCTGAATCCTCTAACCCTGTGACACCTGGGCCTATCTTGTGACAAGGAAATAAAAATGTAGAAAGGAAATGGTTCTGGAAAAATGCCCAGTTGGTATGTGGTAGAATCTGGACCTCATCCCAGGTCTCAGATTCTAGTGCTGTGCTCTCTGCTATATTCCTTTGGACTATAGATTTAGACTTAATAACGAAGATGTTGAATAAAGCAGCCTCTGGGCCAATAGCCAGTGGGACTGTCCCAAGTGTCTGAACACAGCATATTTTCCCTCTCTGCCTTCTCTCCAGGAAATGCATTTGTGTTGGACTTAGGCTCACAATCACTGTAAGTAACAGTTACCAACCCCAAGGGAACCTGGTTGTCAGGTATTGGATGCTTACCCTCATTGCTACCTGTTTCCTTTTTGTTCCTCCAGGCTGAACAGAAGCTGATGAGCCCCAGATGTATTTGGCTGTCCAGTTGCCCCCAAATTGTTGGTTCTTCCCTTACATCCTCCCCTACCTGGTTTCACTGTACTTCTGCCCACCTTGTACTGAAATAACACATCTAGTATTGTATCTCAATGATGTTATAATTACACATGTATAGCCTTTTATACCTTAGAAATTCAAATCCATATCTCAGTTGCTCCCAGGATGAAGGACTCCACTTTGACTTCCCTAAGATATGTTGGCTTTCTAATGAGTGCAGATGACCTGGTGTGCTAGACATGGGCACAAGTGTAGGTATCAGTGTATGCAGACTTTTGGAGGCTTCTGAGGGACCAAACCAAATGCTGTTGATGATCCCTAGTAGGGAAATTACAGGCATTGAATGCTAAGGGTTGGCAACAGGCTAATCACTGTGTGTGTGTGTGTGTGTGTGTGTGTGTGTGTGTGTGTGTATGTATTTTTAATTTCTCATACAATTCTTAAAATAGTTGTTTTTGATTGAATTATGTAGCAGATTTAAATTACCTCCTCCCATTCTCCTTTGAGTTTTTCCAGTCAGGTATGTCAGTACATATTGGAAAGTTTACCCAGGTTTAAATTTGAAAAGATACAATATTAGGAGGCTTCTAACAAAAGGGATATCTTGTGTCTGTTTGAATTTTAATAGCTAGTTCAAGTCTTTAACCTCAGTGTCCTGTTTCCTAGACTTCACATAGAAATTCTCTGAACTGATTTTAGGTGTGTAGCTTCCAAAAGAGTAGAGAAGAAAACAGATAAAGTTTCTTGAAGCCTCACCACACACCAGGCATTACCACAAAGCACTGGCTTTTAATCTCTTTAGTAGTCTCTAAAATATTCTCATTTTAGAAATGAACATAGTAATGCTCAGAGAAGTGGGAAGAATCCTGTAGAACCACTGTTGTCTCTCTCTGGAGCCTATACTTTTTCCAGAAGCAATAACCATCATGACACTGAACTAGTATTGAGCATGTGCCAGGCACTGTGTAGAGGGTCCCTACTATGAAATACTGCCCTGAAGCATACTCTTAGAAATGGGAAAAGTGTGAAATTCTCTCCATCTCTGGGATTCTTGGATCCCTCCTTGAAGCACTACAGTAATCTAATTGACATCCAGTGAATGGTGCAGTAGGCTCTCTGCCCTAAGCACACAGTGACCTGTTTTCTAGTCCTGATTCTGTTTCAAACCAACATCAACTTCTAGGTCCCCAGGTACTCCAAGTGCTAAAAGCTGATGTTTGGCAGAGCAGAGGCGGGTTCCTCTTTGCAGTCTGCTAATATGCTGCTCTAATTCAACTTCACTTTGCTGCCTTTGGGTACAGCATTAAATTGTAAGCTCCTTGAAAGGAAAAATAGCCCTCAAGATTTGGGGATGCAAAATGGAGGCTTCTTCATTTGATTTACTTATAAAAAAGCTCATCTCTTTCTTTAGACTCTGAGTTCTAAGCACATTTGAGTAAATACTTGTTCTTCCTATCAAGTAATCAGAGAAGAACATTCTATTTATTTGCATATTTATCTGCTGCATGTACTCTGAAGGGGAGAAGGAGTACAGTATGCCACATCCCTACACTAATTACCAACTAGTCTTTCTCGAGTCCAGCTCGAGCATGGGACTTGGCAGATTGTAGGCAATAACATATGGGTGCCAAATGAATTAGTAAGAGAAAAGTAAGTTACTCCTTTGGTTAGAGGTGTTATCTGGGAGTCTCAGTGCAGGCCCCACAGATGGGATCCACAGTAAAGAGGCCCAAGGTAGGATGGTTTCCCCACCTTAAAGGTGTACTTTGCCATCTAAGGAGTTTTAGAAATATGGAAGATACTCAAAGACAGGTTGCAATGTTGGTATTGATTTGACTACAAAATAGCCCTTTTGTGTCTTAAAAGAAAAGAGGGATGGTTTTGCATTATTTTACTTCTTTTTAATTGCTTAGTGTTTCTAGCTAAATTTGCTAACCCACATTAATGTATACAAATTATAATAAATGTTAAGATATTACACATCAGTATTATTTCCTTTTTTTAAAAAAACATTTTGGTTTTTGTGTGTACATATGCACTTGAGTATAATAACTTGGTAATTTGGGGCACGTGGTTTACCAGAAGCCATTCTTACTACAAAACCAAGCTGGATATGGTGGCTCATGCCTGCAATCCTAGTGCCCAGGAGATTAAGAAACAAAGACTGCCAAAAGTTTGGGGTGGGGAGAAAGTTACTCTGAGTTGGGGGAGGTAATCTTGGAGCTGTAAACCTAAAGGAAGGGGAAGGATTGCTCACTCATTAATAAATATTTCCTGAGCACCCACTATAGATGATACTGGGCCATGAGAGAGTGATGCATGAAATCTGTGAAAACGAAGCTCGTGTTGAGAGGAAAGCTCTGCCTCCTGATATTTGATCAAGTCAGAACCCACCAACCTTATAAAACACTGGTTTACAAGCTCTGTAGTGACACATATGACAGTCACACTCATTCAGTAACACACATTTACATTTATCAACACACATATGCTTCACATTCGAGACACTGGACCCTCACTGAGTCCAGTCTCATGCTCCGACACACCCATTCTCACATACAGTGACATGTTATCATACTCACCTTCAGTGATACTCACATTCAGAGATATTCATACACTGGCACACATGCTCCCAACATTCAAAAACATGCTCCTTCACAGACACAGTGACTCATATATATACCTATTCACTGGCCAATACTCTTATTCATTCACTGTCAAAAATGCACACTAACATACAAGTGGGTACATGCACACACAAGTGCACATAAAAAGTCATACCTGCTTAGGGATCACAACATACACATCCCCACAAAAGGACAGGAAAAATGCTATGACAGGCTGTCTGAAATAGTCCCTCATTCCCCCTTTTTCCTGTGACACCCAAGTCTGCCAAGCACCCTGTCCAACTAGTCCTCAAATATCCTTCAGTGGAGACAGAGCTGGCCCCTACCCAGTCAGGGGGTAGATTGAACAGAGTGGGTGGAAAAACACCATGCCCTGAGTTATGCACAACATCTATAGGGGCATCATTCCCTGACCCTTTTGGAGTCCTTTCCATATCTGTCAATCTGTCACATAGATGCCCTGTGCCCTCTACAAGTATAGAGCTGCAACAAGAATCCTGGGGCCTGCCTTATGTACTGCACCCTCCCTTCAGCATGCAGCCCCTTTATTCCTGCTCCTGCCAAATGCTCTGAGAAGACCATCATTTTATCCCACATCCATTGGCTACCAGTAGACTGACTCCTTCCCATCCAGACCACTGTAGTCCCTCATGGTCTTGGACATGTACACATGCCAGTGTCAACCCAGCCACCACTGTTGCCATCCAACTCACTCCCATCAGAGTCAAGACACAGCTGGAACATTCATGAAATTTATTCAGCAAAACTTGTACTAAAACCATTTAAAAAGAGGAAACACAGAAACTTTCAGTGGGCACAAAAAGCCACAAGCCCTGCCCATACAAGGACCTTCTGCTACAATATATTGTCTTGGGTGCCCTAGATCTGTCTCTTGTCAAGATCTGGTCAATGTCAATCCTGTCAAGCTCTGGTAATGCCCTTTGCTTTAAGGAATTCTCTCAAGAGATTCACTGCACGGTGGTGCTGCCTTAGAGTATACAAAGACCCATCACAGGGAATTGGGGAGCATAGCTTGCAAAACACCACCAACCCTAGAAAATAGTCACAAGTAACAGCAGGAGTTGAACATCACAGCACAGTCCCATGTTGAAGTCACTGACCAGTCCCTTGTCAACGTCCTTGCTTCCCACTGGCTGCCAGGACTGAGCCTGGGGATTCTGGGGAGCACCTGATCAGGTAACAACACACACATCTGCAGGAGAACGAGCAGCAGGAGGCTGGTCTAGATGTACACCAGGAAAGCAGACAAGGAGTTCACAACACTGGTGGGAGAGGAGCTAGCATAGCCTTGGCTGGCACAGAAGCTCACAACATGTGCCAGGGTGTAGAGGTGACCCTGACCAGGTAGTCAGGGCTTCCTGCTGCTCAAGTTAACACACACCTCACTCACAGCTTTGTACAGGAACAATGGGTCGGGGGTAAGCACACAAGGGGGGAAGGGACTGGTTGGACAGCTGGGTCAGTATGAGGCTGACAGATAAGAGAGGTGTTCCAAAGCAGGGAGTAGCCTGCCTCAGGATAGCAATGGAGAGGGGCATCCATGTTGGGAGAGCCAGGCAGAACCCTTGAGATGGCCTCTTCTGTAACTTCCACCCTTTTGGTATGGGTGGCAGATGGAGGATGGCACCTCGGCAGCACTGCTTGGCCACCCTCCCAGGTTGGCAGGGTTTGGGGCCAGCCTTGGCAGCTGCCTCCCCAGTTGTATTCACCAGGCTCCCCCTGCTTGCTTTCTGGAATTCTCCAGCAGCCCTGGACAAAATTACCCTCACCCCCTCTCCCCAAGTCCTCTTGCTGCTGTTCTTCCACCTCCTCTTCACACAAAGTCTGTTCTGCACACTCACAGGCTCTCAGGCCAGCTGAGGGCATGAATCCTATGGTGCTGGGTGCACACCCCCAGCTTGGGGCTCTTCTTGGGCACTGGTGTCTTGTCCCACTCACAGTCCTGTCAAGGTGCCCAGAAGGAAACTGCCTCTGGGTTGGCACTGGCCTCCCAGAGCCTTTGGGTCCAGGGACCCAGGGGTTTCACTCACGAAAGGACTCAAGGGTACTGCCCTCATGGGGCTCCCCTAGAGCAGTGTAGATGATCCTGAAGACGGGCTGGATCCTGCGGCCTCCTCTGCGGAGCACTGTCTCCCTGCCTTGCTGTACTTCCCCCCAGGCACTGGTTCTCTCTGGCCAGGACAGCCCTGTGACTGGTTCCTCCACACCCCGTGCTGTTTCAGTGCCAATGGGCATCCTTAGCTCAGAGCCCCAAGCCTCACCATCTTTATCCTTTGACTCCCTAGTGTCCCAATTGGGATCTGGATCACCCTGTAGTCTGGCTATAGTACGTCCCCATTCCTTTCTCCGGTACTCTCCATGGGCCTGGGATATGGTAGTCACCGAGCTAGGTAGAGCTTGTTTTTGCTTGTTGGAATCATTTCTAGCAAGTGGCAAGTAGGGTGCCTTACCCTGGCCTTGGCCGTCTTGCCCTTCTGCACCACTCATTTCCCCTGCCATTTGTCTGGGCTGCCCCATCATTTTGCCAAGGTATCTCTGTTGCCTGCTAGAGGAAGGAATTCCTGGAACTCTTGAGCCTATATTTCTCTGGGGTTGGGGTGGCTCATAGCCCCAGCCCCTCTCTCGTTTCCCGACTCCTGTGCTTCAACATGGGGTTTCTGCTCATCAGGATCATTTTCAGCCCCGAAACCTGATTCCCTAATAAGCCCCTCTTCCCCACCACTGTGTCTCCATAACAGTCGCCTCCGTTTCACTGATGTAATTTCCTCTCCTATGGTCTGGGTGCTGATCTCCCTAAAAAACCCTGCCTGGGTGGTAACCTGATCTGTTGTTGCCTCACAGGTCCTGTTTTCCTTTTCTGTCTGATTCTGCTGTTCCTTCATCACTACCATGGTGGTCTCCCACTCTTCCTCATCTCGAGTGAGTTTCATTAACTCCAGAAAAGTGGGTGGGCATCCTTGCTGATCTAAGAGGGACAGCTTGCCCCGAAGGCCAGTGGTCAGGGAGACTCGAGATAAGACATGCTTGAGGCGAATTGAGTCTGCACTGTGTGCTGACAAGGGGCTCTGCTGCACTGCTTTTTGCAGCAGGGGCTCTAAGCGCAGCAAGTAATCAGATAGCTTCTCTGCAGGTTTCTGAGAAAACTGAAGAAATCTGAACTGTAAGATCTTATAGTCTTCTTTATTCCCAAAGATCTGCTTTAGGGCTTTCAAGCACTGCTCCATAGTTAGGTCGTCATTGGTATCCCACAGTGCCTGCATAATTGACAGGGCAGAGCCACGCAAGCTCTCTAGAAGACGCCTCTTCTTCTCCTTCTCAGACACCTGCCATAACTGCATCATCTCAGTGACCTCCCCTAACCATGTTTCAAAGGTCTCTTCTCCTGGGCCTGGAAGGGGACTGCCAGAAAACACTTTCAATTTTTGATAACACATGCTACTGCACAGAGACTTCAAGCCTTCTGGTTTGTCTTGGTCTGAATTCCTTAGCTCCGTGCTCACTGTAGGGGCAATGCTAAACCCCAGGGCTTTGGCCACATCTACTATTCTCCTTCCTTCATCTCTCAAAAAGTAGGTCAGCTTATTGATAAACTCATCATCTGGGCTACGGGGTTTGACTACCACTTCCCAGGCCCCCCCTGCTGCTGGTATATGAGTGGGCATCATAGTATAATTGACAACTTCAGTCAGTTCAATTAAGACTGCCTTAGCTTCATCTTCCCTCCTGAACATTCTGCCTATCACCTTGTGAGCACACAAAGGAGGTAAGCCTTCTTTCAGAGCATCCTTTATCTCAGCCTCACTGCACTGCACAGGAATGCCCACAATGAGCACAGCCTTCTTGGGGTCCAGGTCCATCCCCTTACACCAGTCATCTAGCAGAGCCACAGCCATTACTCCCACCCTCTATGAACAGACTTAACACTAGGGTACTTATTAGCTCAGAATTTTCCTAGGACTCAGAGGATCCTAAGCCAATGATGCCATGTAGAAAGACAGCAATGTCCTGGGTTTCCCACAGCCTGAAATGTAAAAGAAGTAAGAGCTTAGTTAACACTTCCTATCACCTCTCCTCCTCTCAGAGATTCAGTCTTGCTTCCCAGGCTCTTGTAATCATTTTGTTGAGGGTCTTCCCACACAAAGCTCCCTGAACCTCACTGGACCCTGCTGACCTTCTGCCACAGCAACCTCACTGGAAGTCCAGGGACTCTACCATGTATTCTGCAAGTACCTGTGGGAAAAATGCCAATGTTAGGAGGCAAAGACTAGTGCCTAGGAA